CGAATTTTAAGAAATTTTAAGTATTTTTGTTTATAACATACGTTCCAAAAAAGATAGAAGTTTCAAATAAATAGTTTTTGAAAGAGCTTTAAATAAAAAAGAGAGAGATTTAAATAAAAAATAGCGGGTTATTTAATTTTACATGTTTTTTTTCGGAAACACAAGCATTCGAATTTTAGGAAAATTCCAATTTTTCTCATCTTTTATTTTTTTACATTTCTTGTCCCGACAATTTCTCATGAATTCTTTTGAAACTTCCAAAATTCTCTTTACCGAATTCGCCAGCTGCTTAAGTTTTTGTTTAAGTCGTTCAACATTAAAATATCTTTTATGATATAGGAAGTATGTATATTGCAAAAAACCCATTTCTATTTCGTTTTTCAAGGTTTTGAATTGACATTACAAAAATACAGAGTGGGACACAATTTTTGTTTATAGACATGATGTATGGTATTAAGATTTTTTATTTTTTGAACGGCTTTTGATGATAAGTGAGGCATGAGATAATGTTAAAGATGAGAAAGATAATGTTAAATGTTTCTTTTTAAATACTTTAGAATGCTGTAACAGTGTTTTTAGGTCTATACTGTTAAAAAATTATTAAAAATTTATTAGTTTTGAAATCTTATTGAAGATTACTGATTTTAATAAAGAATGTTTTCTAACTCTTACAAAAAACATGTTTTATACAAAATGAAAAATCATCTTTCAACTTTGACGAGCTGTTATCCTGTCTCAATGTCCATAGAACTGCCATAAAAGTTTGCAGTTACATAAATATTTAAACGTTTTGCAAATACAATCAATTAATATTTGATTCGCCTCAATAAATAAACGATTAGTTACATTACCTTTTTTTTTAATTAACAAAAAAAATTTATTGTTATAAATTGGTAAAAAAAAAAAAATTCAACCTTGTATTCTAGTTTTCATTAAAATAAAATCTTTTTATTCATATTTTCATATTTGTTTAATTTATCATAATTCATCCATGTGTTGGCATCTCTCTTCCTTAATATTTATCCGCACATTGATATTAAAAAACACAAAAGGATAAAAAATTAAAAGTATTGAGTAGACACAATTTTTTTTTTCACAAAAACACATTAAAAATTTTTCATAGTCAAACAATTGGCACAAAAAAAAATTAATAAATCTGAACAAATAAAGGAAAAATTAATGATTTTAGATTTCAGGATAATAAACTATATGAATGTATGGAATGTGTTATTTTACAAAAATTGTTATTTATTTGAAAAAAAAGAAATGAACTTTTGTTTTCATAATATTTTCATTATCCTTTAAGGTCGTTTAAATATACAATGTGCGGTGTAATTTTGTTTTTATTTTTTTATTTTTATGATATCAACAAGCATTATAAAAAACAATCCAACCTTGATGTCAGTATAAATCAATTGAAAAGTGAATATTAAGGAAAACAAAAAAAAAAAAGAAAATTCGGCGCATGTACAAGGATTTTATTTGTTTTTTTTTTTTAATAATAAAATGTGTATAATGGGTATGCAAAATACACAAGTGTTTAATATACAAAATGTATTTTTGAACCCCTTCATATTTTTGAAAATAAAATACTTTGTGTTATAGGAAATATGTGCCTACATGTAACAATAATTTTTACGCGCCTTATACAACTTTGAAATAAGGATTTTTGTGGAAATGAACAATTAGTTATAAGAATTTTTAATAAAATGTCCGCCTGTTAATCTATAATAATATGCAATTGTCTGGCTCTTTTTAATTTCTACTAATTATATAAAATAGAATTCATGTATACATAAGTATACAGTTTCGTTCCCGAATAGAATTATTAGAATTCACAGGAAAGAATAGTGCATGTTCAAACAGGAGTGAATAGTGCATAGGATTGTAGTATTTCAAAAATACAAAATACATTCTTTGCACTTATAGGTGCAACATTAAAATAAATTTGATTCAGCAGAAATATACCGAAAATCATAGATAAATTGAGCCGTTACATACGAATAGTTCGCAGTTTCATGAGATATGCATCAGAGTACTTTCCATACTAACGAAGAAATCTTACATAAATAACATTCACACCAAATTTGTTGTATTTACACCTTGTATTGACTATGTCTATTACATGGACTTAGTAAAAAATACTGTTATATGAACTTAGTTAATAACTTTAGATTAACTGTTATATGAACGCCATCTTCTTGCTATTAAATAGCTTTGTTTTTTTTTTTCAAATAATTGTGTTCAGAATTGCATTTTAAAAGTTGAAATTTTAATATTAAATATTAATTTATTTCAGATTTAGAAACTTTAAAGTCAAAGAATCAATCATAAATAATTGTTGACGTCAGAATAAGTTTATGTTTTTATAGTTTGTTATTCAAATCTGAACGTCTGACGTTTATTTTTTTAAAAAAACATTCGTTTAAATTTATTTACTAACACTTGATATCGGCTCGGACTAACTATGCAATTTATTTATTCTTTTTATTTGACAATTCTTCAATTATTTAATCAACTCTTATACACCTATAACGAGAATTATTGATTTTAAATATTCAAATAAGTAATGATTGATTTACAATTCCGATAAAAAATAAATAAATGAGAAAATTCTTTTAATTTTCTTTCTGTTTTTTTGTTTCTTTTTATTTATATTTGGTTTTTTAAATTAATTTACACTCAATTTATTTATGTGATAAATATTGAATGATTTTTCTAAATGACATAATAATTTTTTTTTCCATTTGCATATTAAGTGTAAGTGCTTACATATACATATGTATGTAATAATGGATTTGTTCAATAGGTAAAGTACATTTTATATATAGGTATATATACAGCGAATATGAGCGCAACTTTGTTATCAAGTGAATATAAAAAATAATTGAACATTTCTATTTTCATTTAAGACAAAAAGAAATGATCAACCTAAAATAGTGCTGTCATTTAGATTGCATTATCAATTGTAGTAAAATTACTAGAATATAAATAAATATTTGCTGAATTTTTTGAATACTTATTTAAAATTTATATATTTAAAATAGGAATTGAAAAGAAGACTCGATATACATATTGTGTGTGTAATTATTGAAAATGTTCAATTAAATTGAAAAGAGGGTTCTAATTTTCCAATGATTCTCGTTCTATTTATAACTTTGTAATAAATTTTGTTAACTCTATGCAAAAATACTTATATTTTGATTTTTTAAGAAAACTATTCCAAAACATACCAATTCGGAAATATTCTTCCTCAATCCATAATTTATCATTTGGAGCCCATTATTCAGTATTCAAGCAACGGAGGAATTGTAAACAAGGTAAAACGTCAATTCTGCTACCTACTTTACTTATTAAAATTAAACATCATAAAACGGTAACACTCTTTTCAATTTTAAGAAATCATAAACGGTAACACTTCCACATAAATCTTATTGAATATAAATTTTAAGATTTAGTATTATAATATAGCAGTCAACCACAAAAGATACTAAATACTATAATAGTTGTTAATAAACTCAACTACTATTCGGTTCGTTAAACTGAATATTCGGAATAATTTATAATTAAATTTTATTTATTTTAACCAATAGCGATAAAATAAATTTTTTTTTATTAACAATTTATATTATTAATTTTTCCAATAACAACGGAAGAGTAAAAGTTCATAAATGATCTCCAAAGTACTCATAAAATACAATTATTAAATTTTATGTGTAAAAAACTACAAGTACCCATGTAAAAGTAGGTAATGTTTACATAATAAGTACGCAGTATTAAAATATTACTACGGATAAAACATAAATTTTGTTATGTATTAATACTAATTATTTTAGTATATATGTATATATAAATTATATAGTGTTATATACAAGTAGTTGAATTAAAATAATTGAAAACAATAATTATTATAGAAGCTGTTTTGTTACTGTTAACTACTTGTAATAATAATTTTTTTTTTTGAAATTTATAAAATATAATTTCAACTTTAATCTTGTGGTCATTAAAAAAAGTTGTATATTATGTGAATATTGTGGTTTATAATTTAATTATTATAAAAACAAGTTTTTGATAATTTATTTATTTTTACTGAATTTTGATTTATAATAGTACGTATTTATGTTCATAATATTGTTTTCATTCATAATTAAGTGTACGTTCGAAATACATTTTTCTTAAAGACAAATATGCAAATATCAAAATAATTTTTATTTAAGATATTCGTAACATTTTATGTAAGGGATGCGGGACTCGATGGAGCTCTCGAAGCGGGGTGATATAATTCCTCCAAACTAAAAAAAACACCCAAAGATAATAAAACGGAATTTCATGATCTTCAAAATAAGCATAAGAATTTGGGTTTGTCTTTTAAATTCGCCGACTTATCAATAAAAATGTGAAAACAATTTAAATATTGAGATAAGAGATGAATCTTTTAGTTATTTAAGAGATTTAAATGTGTTTTTTTAGGCTTATGAAAATTTCAAAATTGGCTGTCAGTTCAAGAAACAGAAATGTAGCATTGTTATAACCATTTAATAAAACAACCACACTTCTAAATACAAAAAACGTACATACATTATATTAACTTATCGCAAATAGTTTGCCATTACTTTTTTTCTACTTAAGAATTAATATTGCGGTAGAAATTTTTCATATTTTTAAAATAATTAATTTAGTAAGTTCGAATTTAAAAGTTCGAATTTAAAATAATTTATTAAAATAATGCAAAGCATTTACAACTATAATAATTTATAAAACAATATAATGGTTTCGTTTAGTTATTAGTCAAATTATTGTCAAAAAAAAAAAGTCATCAAATTGACATTTTACTACTCAATTCTACTACTCTAGTCGTCACATTAAGTAAGGAAATGTCATTAAATTTTTAGGAAACTAAAATTAATTTTAATAACTTCATTTCTTCTAATCTATTTTGTCTTAATTTGTTATACAATATAAACAATAATAATATTTATAATTTCTTTTTATATTTATAGTAAATTATTCAAATATATTTTATTAAGTAAATAAAACTTAATTTAAAATAAAAATCATAAAGTGTTAATATATTTATGTATTTTAAAGAAATAAAAAAACTTTAATTATTAATTAAATAAATAAATTTAAAAAATATTTTAATATCGCGATATTAAAATAGTGAAAACTAATTTGAGCCATGTTTCGCTCAAATTATTAATCGTGAGTATTTATGTATAATAAAAGACAAATTATATTTATTAAGATTAAAAAATATTTAATTGTTTTATTATAAAAGTTTGGTTTTGTGATTTTTGGAATTTTGTATTTTTTTTTTTTTAGATATAATAATTAAAATAATAATAATATTTTAAATATTAATTTTCTTAGTTTTAATATATTAAAAATTTTTAGTGTACCACTATAGTTGAGTATGCGTATTGGAATGTAGTGTTACCTTTTATTTTTTATATTCAAAATAAAAATATTCCAAATTATAATATTATGAGTTTAAATTTTAAAGGAAAATTAAATGCGTATGTTATTTATAAAGCAAGTGTAAAATTTGTGTTTTTTTTTTATGTAATGAAATTGTGTTGTTTTTAGTTTATTATTACGATATAAAATTATGCATTTGAAAACTTTTTCCTACTTATTAATTACTTTAATTATATTTGCTATAGTTATTAATTTTTATATTCGTATATTGATTTTAATATATTATTTTATATTTATATTTTGAATTATAATTTTTCAGGATAAGTATTTTATAAAAAATAACAATATACTTATATTCAAGTTTACTCTACAAACAGGTTACACTTTATCTTTGATTTAGTTTTAGATTATGTAACTTTTTAACTAGAGTAAAATAACGACTTTCCTTGAACACTGTCCAGTTTACAACCGAATTATCCGGAAACGGATAAAAAAAATTATTCAGGGGTAATTTGAAGACCGATCCAAATTCTTTAAAATTATGAAAAAAAAATTTAATAGGGTAAATTTCTTAGTAATTGGCCACTTCGTGAAAAATTTAACATATTTTGTTTTTGACTTACTTATTTCAAATGATACACTGTTTTTTTTTTTTTTTAAATAAAGAGCTACCTTTCAGCTTTCCATTGCTTATTGATAATTTTTAAAGTGATTAAAATGTTATCGCCATATAAGTCGTTAAATCAAAATTTTTATTTTTTACCGAAACCAAAAATTTTCAACTGGGATTTTAGGAAATATTTATTTGCGTCCTTTCTCCTCCCCTCAGGAACGATTCTTGTCATAAAATTGTCCCACCTTTCAGCTCCCGAGAAATTAAACCACATTACAGGTTCCCCTGTATGTATATCACATGTATAAACCATAACAATATATTATGCAAAATGTTATGTTCTACTGGTTTGTGCCTGTGCTTGTTTATAAACCTAAGTTGTACATAATGTATAAAAAAACTAAATAAGCAATATATTTTGTTATTAGTTTTACAGCAATATTTGTACACTTTAATTTTACCTGTAGTTATTAACAGGTTTTTAGTATACAGTTACTTATATGGTAAGGTCACTTGTCTAATTAATTTTTTTATGGAACAAATTAAATTTACTTACACACTGATATTGCAACTTATATAATATAAAGTTGCATTAATCAAGTAATAATCAATTTATTCAAAGTATTAATGATAATGTTTCTTTTGTGAAAATATTCTTTTTTTAATCTGTTAATGTAAGTTCGTTATCCAATAAGGAATATCAAACGAAAGTAAATTAATTTTTGCAATAAACTTTTACTTTAATATCGCCAAATCTCACCTTTAAATAATTTTGTTTTGTTTATTGGATTTTTTTAGGGTGTATTGCAGGTATAGAGAAGTTTAGATATAAAAACATTGTTCATATGTTTTGTTGCATTAGAATTTTGCAGACGTTTACATAAAAAATATTTGATGTGAAGCCAACGGCTTGTCCTTTAACAGCTCTTTCTTTGATAATCTTAATTTTGTTTTCTTAAATTCCTTAACTTTGATATTAATTCCCATCCATCTATTCTGCAATAGGTACGGAGAAATTATCTTTCCTATAATTTCTAAAATCTATAAATATTTTGGGTTTTCTTGAAATGTTTGAGAAGTCTATAAATGAATCTCTAATATCTAAATGGCTACTAATTGTATAGTATAAAATAGTATAAAATAAGCATAAGACTAAAAATAAAAAATCTATCCATATAAAAAAATCTGAATACATAAGTAACTTAAAAAGGTAAAAGTGAAAAGTTTTCAAATTTAATTTTAATTTGCAATTCAAACTCTTGAAAACATTTTTGGAACAGCGTTGTAGCGCGTTTATTTTTGTTTCATTTCCTTTTATTCGGTAATTCATTATTGTTTTTAGTGTTATAACGAGGTCAGAAAACTTTAAACTTAAAATAAAAAATAAAAGTTACAAATAAAAAAAAACTTAAAAACAAAAGAAAAAAGAAACAAAAATAAAGTTAAAAAATACAACGGTTTATTTTTTTTTTAATTTGTAATTTTTACCGCTGCCAGTGCTGCCACTTTTGTTATCGTTGCCTTCGTCATTTATTTTTATTATTATTATTTTTTTTTGTTTGTAGATTATCACAGCCATAAAGAAAAAGAAAAATTAAAATTTTTTTGTTTTTTTTTTATTAACCGAAAAAAAAAATTTTTTTTTAACAAAATTTTTACCTCTTAAATTGAAAACCATTTTCTGATTACCTGTTACATCTACCTTCTATTTGAGCTTTTCATTATCAACTTCAATGACATTTTTCAAAATACGAAACAAAAAATTTCGTTAAATATTTTTTTTTTTTTGTTGTTATTATTCTTTTTTTTTGTGTTTTTTAAAAATTTGATTTTGTGTCATATGACTCATTATCATACATACAATATGGGCTCAATTAAAGACATGCTACTTATGTATTTTTGTTTCATAAATAATTAAAAAAAAGAAATAAGACCATCTTCATATTTTCATTTTGCGGAACGCCTAACAATTCGAAAATTCATACACATACATACATATATATGTATGTATGTATTTACTTAGTCACATAGTCAAATTACGATAAAAGTGTACGGAGTAAGTGAGCAGAATGCAAAAATAAAAAAAAAGGAAATATGTTTCTTAATAAGTTCCAAAAAAAATCGAAAAGTTCAATTCAAACATGTAGAAGCAGTTTAATTATGATCTGTGCGTTGCTTTCAGAAAGCATATACCTAACTTACTCCAAGCACTTAATATTCCTCACTGCATTAAAGCAGCCTAATAAGTTGCCTATTAAAGTAAGAAAAAACAGAATGTAGCTGTGATAATTTCTCAGGTGCCGTATCGTTTGTGCCTTATAACAAAATTATTAATTTTTTTCGTAATAAAATTTTTATGTATGGTTTAGAAGTTCATAAATTTATAGATTCTAAATGGAACTTTAAGGAAAACTTTATTATTTTAATAACAATATTTTTCATACAGAAAACTAAATTAAATAAATTAAGTGGAAATGAATAAAAAGAAACTGAGTTTATATAAACAAATAATGTTTATATTATAAATGCATCAAAATATTTCAATAAGTAAATAATTAAGTAAATTGATTGAAAAGAAATAATTTTTTACATAAATTTAAAAAGACTTTTAGAATAGGCACAAAATTAAAACACAACTAGTTCATTAATATATCATAATAAGTATTACTTATACAGAGCAACAATTATCATTGTATTTCCACATCCCTTAAAACTTACAAAGTGAATACATATACCCACATATACACAACATATTTAAATGCAAATTCAAAATCTCGCATTGTCTACTCATCTATGCTGTTATTGAAATTGTGTACTTCTCCTTTTAGAATGTACCGTAATTTAACTTAAAAACATTTGGTCACATTAATATCCGTACATGTATTTAAACAAAAGAAAAATAAAATACTAATAATAAAAAGCAGTCTGTTATAAAATGATACAATGTTGCACAACAGCATAAAATTAATTTAAAAACTTAAATTTTATAACTATACTTGTTATGGCAGCAGAATAAAATTTTAAAAATGCGTTGAACCTAAAAGTTTGCACAAAAATTTTTTTTTTAAATTTTAAACAAGTTTGTTATAAGAGTTTTGTGTGTTTGTTCATATTTATATTCACAAATCAAAAACCTTATATACATACGTTTGTATTGATTTATATATATATATATACTTATAATTAGGTGTACGAGTAAGTGCTATTCAAGTTCGTTCAAAGTTACCAATTTTTCCTTATTTAAAAATAAATAAATACTTGGTATTGTTTTTTTTTGTTAATAAAGTGACCATATTAGGGAAACAGGCTTTTATTTCAAGTTTGACTTTTGTTTTTTTTTTTTATTAAACAAGTTTTATTTTTTGTTTTCTTTCTTTTAGTAGTAAGTTATTAATGTTTTTATAAATTTTGATTTATTTTTTAATCTAAAATACATTATTTTATACTCATACAATAAATTAAAATTCGAATCTCTTCCATTACTATCCATGAACTTGCCCTTCTGATTAAAGTTAAATTTTATATTTAAATACTTGAATTAAGTTAGTTGAAACTGCAACTTAAAATTTAGCAAAAAATTGTAATTTTATATTCAAGATTTTCAGTAAAAAATATTCTGAAAAGAAAAATCAAGTTTTTGCAATAATTTTAAGGGACCTTGTATGATTTTTGCAAGGATTCTATTAATACGAGTAGATCAAGTGAATCTGGTAGAAAATATGAACTTGATTTTAAGTATAGTTATGGAATTCCAACTTAATTATTAAAAATTCGAAATTGAGAATGGATAATGCAGAAAATCAAGTTAATTTTTTGGTATAAAATTTTCTTTTGTAGGTATTCTATAAATCTTATTACATAAAATGGAAAATAGAGTGTTTCAAACATAATAGCTTCTTAGTATCTAATAAAAACTATTGCATCTTATTTTAATTAGAATCATGAATTTTTGATTTTATGACCTGTTCTATTAGTTTACTAACAAAATGTTAAATTTGTTGCAAACAGGAAAGGTCTTCTTCCTAAAAATTAACCTTTAATACAAAAGATTTTCGATTTAGTAGAATGATTTCTTTTGTAAGTAAATCAGAGGTAATACGTACATATATGAGCTTTCCGAATAAGTACATATACATTTACTATATTTATTTTGCAAACCCGAACATCGTTT